GCTTGGTTTAATCCTCTCCAAGATGAATCTGTTTGTTTTCCTGGCAGTCCATGGTACATTCAGTACCCTTCTCCAGCACCACAGCTCAAAGTCATCAACTCTTCTGTCCTCCCTAGTCATTGTCCAACTCTCTGATGCATAACAAGCGATTGCAAAGACCGTGGCCTGTATCCGGCGCACCTTAGTCCCTAGAGATACACCGTTGCTCTTGAGAACTTTAGAGAGGTCCCTAACAGCAGACTAGAAAGGCAAAAAATTGGAAAGTAAAAGTGGAGAGAGATAGAAACTGGGAGACAGAGAAGACCAGAAGAAGAAAGAAGAAACGCTAGGGAAACATGAAGGTGAAAGAAAATTTAAGAAAAAAACAAAACACTTCTCACAAGAATAAACAAATAAGCAAATTTTTAAAAATTATGGGAAAGAAAAAAGAATGGAAAAAGAAGGATCTTGGAGGAGGATGGGCTGCACATCTTACTGATATTCTTTCCAGTCTTTTGGGTAGAGTCAAAATACGTGGTTTAGAACAATTTGTCTGTCAGTCCAGCAGAAGTCTGGGGTTGGGGTGCACAGTCAACTTAGAGTTTCTGCTCATTTGAGAGATGGCTGAGGTCCTAAGATGTAAACCAGTTCATGGACATTGCTTCTTTTAGTCTGTGAGTTATCAAGGAACAGGGCATCCAACTTGGGATGGTGTTTTTACTGGCTTCCCACTATCTTAGGGTGTTCTGCCTTGCAAGGAATGTCATCTTTGTCAGCTCAGGGATTTGGTTACAGGCATTATGTCTAGACAGAAGTGCTAGCATGAAGAAATAGAATCCAAGAATGGTATATGCCAAAAAGGTTTCTCTGCTCCAAATGTGACAGTGGCGTGTGCCAAGTGAAATATCCTCAGGGGTTCCCTGTGAGAGAGAGGCTAGGACCCCAGCCAGACGTTATGTTCCACCAAGCTGGAGAGTTAGCTATAGGCTGGGACAATCCAGGGGAACACTGCTAGCCACCTGGTGGGTTGAAGTTGTGGGAGAATGCCTCTCCTCTGATCTCTGGGAGGGCTTGGGGAACCCTGGAGGCATGGAGATTACACTATTCTAGTCATAAGCCAACTATTGGTGTTGAAACTGCTATATTCCCGTGTTACCACACCAACCAAAGCCACATTCAAAATGACCAGCCGTGCCATTTACAATTTTGGACAATGTTTACCTACTTCTCAGATATTTTTGTTTTGTTTCTTCCTTATGTTAGTATTTGAGCTACTTTAAAAAAATTTTTTTTTCTTTTAAATCAGAGTTCCAGAATTATCGTCCTTATCGGTGAAGAACATTTAATATATGATGGACAGTGTAAAGAACAAACAGACCTCTCTTGGAGAAAGTGCAGCCGAAGTGCTCATTAGAAGTGAGGATGGTGAGAATTCATCTTAAATATTTTAATCTTATTGTTATGAGGAGCAGGAAAAGACATCATGCTTGGAAAAGTAGAAGGTCAAAAAAGGAGCTGAAGACCCTCAATGAGATTAATTGTCACAATGACTACAACAATGGGCTTATATATGGCAGAGATTGGGAGGGTGAAGCAGAAGTGGGCAGGAATTCATATTCATTATGTTGTACATAGGGTTGTTAGGAGTTTAAACTGAGAGAATCTAACAACTTCAGTGCTGAGAGAGAGAGAGAGAGCGAGAGAGCAGTAAATTAATTCACATTTGTTTCTTTGGTCTGTCTTTGACCCTATGCAAGCTATCAGATCATGTTTGGAAGGAGCCCAAGAAATTTCATGGTGGAATACACCAGAGGCAACTCTGATTTTCATTCCAAATTATAATTACTGTAATGCTGATACCGGTACTGGGAAACTTGTTGCATATTGAGGAAGAGAATATATTTTCTCCATACAATTCTTCCTTTTTATCTGACCTGTGATCTCTTAGTTCCCAAACTTCACCTCTGCACCTCTTCTCTCTGACAGGCAGCATGACCTCAAACATGCTAACTGTGAATGGAGTCAAAGTGGCTTCTATGCTGTCCCAGCCCACCCACGTCAATATTCACATCCACCAGGAATCTGCTTGGGCTCAAATTCTAAAGAATGGGGGTTCTCTGATGTGCCGTTTTTTTAAGCCCAAGGACACTGTCCATCCTAAAAGCAAGATATGCCATGGACAATTGGCACTCGGGGTAAGCATGGACTGGAAAGGAGGGTGAGTGTGGTGAAATCGAGGGAACATGAGCTACTTTCCCATAAGGGATGTGAAAACTTACTACTCAATCTATTATTGTTCCAGAGAGGATTTAGGACCTTTACTGACTTTGTAGTTTGTGAGACAGAATGATAGAAAAAATGATTATGTCTTCGGCTGTTTTCTCCAGAGATTTGAATAAGAAGGAGCTATTATCTTCTTTAGTGCATGGTAGCACCCCAGCCAGAAGGGGGATGATGGGTAGGGGACTCTTTGGTAGCTATTAAACCTGTTCTATTGAAGTCACATGATCTATGGTGTTCGTTGCTCATGGGAAAGAACCAGGAAGCTACACAAATCACTAGAATTAAGGTAGACTAGCTGTCATGAGAAAAGAGACTGAGACACACCAGACAGCTTCCTGAAGAAATTGGCATCTGAGCCAGATCCTGAGTGGAGGAATGGGTTTGGATAGAGAGAGCTGGAAAGTGAAGAAAAAGAGTGCCAGGTTAAGATACTGGCCAAGCAAAGATGAAGAGGCTGGAACGACTAGTTTTGCCATCATAGAGCTCAAGCATCTGGCACGTTGAGAATGTGAATGAGACTTACAAGGGATGGGATTGGCATGCAGACCAGGGCCACATGGCCATGGGCCAGGAAGCCAAGGGCATTGTTTATCTAGAGTTAGTTTGTATTTTGGGAAGGCAGCCTGTCAATGCTGAGCAGGAACCTGATCTCTGGGCTACTTCAGAATGAGACCCTGCTAAAAAAAGTATCCAGCGCCTGTAATTGTATGATCAGAAATCATAAGGGAAAAAAGGCTCAAATCTTCATGGCTTGGGAGTGAATCAACTTGGGTAGGAGTAAAAGAAGAGCCAAAGGACATATTAAGATTTGAAGCTTGACTGACCAGCAGAAACTAATCATGGATGTCAGGAGAGGCAAATGTTGGGATATGAACTTTGAATGTGATGAACCTGAGAGCCAACATGATATGGAGATGCTAATGTCCAGAGAGCTAAGATGGAATAAGGCTTTTGGGATAAGAACTTCTTTGATATGAAGAAGTAGAAAGTGGATTTGGAAGCAGAAGCCATAGACTTCCTACATTTGTCTGTGCTCACTCAGTAGGGAATTCCAGAGGAGACTGGGGAAATGCTCATGAGAGTTGTACATTGGGTGAAAATGGCCTTTGTCTCACTGCCTTGCTTATTGACTGGCAGGAATGTGCTCTCACTTCTTTGGATGATGAAAAGGAGCCAGAAGGAGATTTGGATCTGTCCCCGAAGCCCCCAGAATTATCTGTTTGGTTCTCAAAATAGATGTTGGGGCCAGAAACTGAGGTCATATTGAGGGTTTAGGTGAACTATTTGGATTATCAAGTAGGAATGAGAAGAAAAGTTGGGCACCATTGTGTGGAATGACCAACTAACACAACTGGGAAAAGTAATCAAGGATGAACTTAGCACACTAAAGGAGTGAGAACAGGTAAGCCAGCATGACCTTATGGGTTTTATAGCAAATAGAACCTCAGAACTGGAAGCTGTGGAGAGGCAGAGAGGTCCACAGAGCCTGACAGCAGCTGCTGGGATACCTAGGCTCACCAGGTTATCTAGATTATCATCCTGTCTTGCAGGTGACCCAGATATTTCTGGGAATTGTGAGCTGTGCTCTTGGAGTGTTCCTCTACTTTGGACCCTGGATTGAGCTGCGTGGCTCAGGCTGTGCCTTCTGGGCAGGGGCTGTGGTAAGTTCAGAAGAGACTGTGAGCTCAGAGTCCAGATGAGGGGTGGAAAAAGGCTATAATCAAGTTGAAAATTCCATTTGATCTGGACCAGGAATTTGGGGAAGAAACCAGGGGCTCTTTGTAATGAAGAAGCTGTTTTGGGGATATGAATACAAACCTTTCCCCCCATTTTTCTCTTTAATCAAGTTAGTGAAGAATGGGCCCTTTGGACTTAGAATTCTGCCAGTATATTAGATTTCTTGTCTGTCTCACAGATCCTGTTCTGGGAATAGTGGGGCCAGGGGAGGTAATGATGGGAGATCATTCTAATTTCTTCTATTCCCAGGCTATTGTGGCAGGAGCAGCAACCATTTTCCATGAGGCGTGCCAGAGCCGACTTTCAGTGAGTCGTGGGCATAATTCTGTCCACCACCTTGCCAATCTCCTTTTCCTGTGTCTCCCTCTTCATACCTCTATTTTATTGTGCCTTACTCTTTGGTACCAAATATCAAGTTCTTCTTGAAGGGGTGAGACAGTTTTATAAGATAAGAAGAGATAGATTGGGGCTCATCATCAATACAGGATCTACATCTTGTTTCTCTCTCCTCTAGGGCTTCATATCAGTCCTGCTCACCCTGGCTGGTATTGCCACAGTCCTGGCAGCTGCCGTCCTGTGTGTGAATAGCTTAATCTGGCAAAGTGATGGCTTCCACAATATCGGCTCAGTGTGTGATTACCCTGAGATGACAACCATTGGGTACAGATGGAGGAGGCAAAGCTGGAGGGACTCAGATTGGAAGAAGACTCAATGCAAGTCCTACATGCAGATGGTGACGGTGAGAACTAAGTTCACCCTCTAGGGAGACATCATGGCTCCACTGTCCCCAAGGAACTGGCACACAGGAGCAGAGATGAGAGCTCATAGAGGTTGAGCCTAATCCTAGGTTGTCTTGTTTCAGGTAGTATTAATTAAGCTCAAGAAATGTCTCAGACACTTGTGAGGTTAAGATCCCCTAAATCACAGAGGGTGAGGAACAAAGAGAAGAGATTGGGTGAGCCATCTGTCTGCCTTTTCTGCTTTGGGTGGGTTCCAGTTATCTAGCAAGACAAAACAACCCACTCCAAACTCAAGTCAAGTGTATTACCTTCTCTTCCAACGCTGTGTCCTGGGTGGGTTTAGATGGTATTCCTTCTCATGCAGTCACTATCAGGTGTCAGGTAGGGGTGGAGCTGTCTCAGAGATCTCCTAGCTTAGACAAATAAGGCTCTTTCATGTGGCTGTTGTTCAATGCTGCCTGTTTGCTGCAAGATCAGTTGGAGCTGTCAATCAGAACGCCCCCAGTGACCTCTCCTTGTGGTTCAGGCAACTAGATCCCAATAGGGAGCATCTGAATTGTATTTGAAGAGGAAAAAAACAGAATGAAAGGCTACTCTGAGGGCCACTTCTAGTGCATTTTATTTGTCAAAGAAGCCATAAGGTTCACCTAAAGTTCACAGGAAAAGAGCCTCCATCTCATCTTGAGAGGTGTACAAGATGACATTGCAGACAATCAAATGGGGTGGGAGACAAGGCTTACCAACTGTTGGGTACTATCTGGTGCCTGGACTCTGTTGGCACCAGAGCCTGTAGGAAGTTGCACTGCTAATTCAAAGGTCACAGCTCTTTGGCAGTTTGAATCCACTAGAGGTGCCATGACAGAAAGATGGACAGTCACCTCCCATGTGATTTATGAAACTCAATAGAGGATAAACTTTAAGGTGATTTTGACTTGATAGTGATGAGAGAGAGAGGCAGAAACAGAAGAAAGAGCAAAATAGAGAGAGAATGTGCATTGGTAGGAAGTACCTAGTTGGACAGACAGTCGGGTATGTTGGTGGGGTGATGATAAGAGCAGAATCAGAGAAGGTCCCTTCCAAACTGTAGCTTCTTTCCTTTCTTTTCTAGAACTTGTTCCTGGCCATCCGTGCTCTGCTCTTGGCTGTCTGTGTCCTGCAGGCCGTTGTATCCTTAACTTCCTTGGCCGTGGGTCTTCGAAGTTTGTGCAGCAGGAACTCCAGGCTCCTTGTGAGTTGTCAGGGAGGTACTGCTGGGGGAGCATGTCTCTAGGGCCTGAGAGGACTTTGGGCCCTGAGCACTGTTGGTCCATGGTCATGGGGAACCATTCTCAACTTCTTCCTAATCCTCAACTCTTCCCTTTGCTCTTTGGGGAATGTGATCCCTATGTCGTGTCTGGGCCTCTCTTTTCCATTCTTTAGTTTCCCCGAGTATCTCCTTTCTGTCCTCTTCCTTGGCCACTGGCTCTTTTTCATTAACCTCTATTTTCTGTCATCTTTTCTTAGCCTTCTCTTCTATCCATTTTCTTAATTTGAACTTCTGTAATGTTTGCTCCTCCCCCATTCTTTCCCCTTATTCCCCAAAGAATTATTTTATCTCTACTTAGGATAAAATTGATTCTAAAAAGAAGCTACTGGGAGAGAGTCCTGTGTCTTCTACTTGCAGAGACGAGATGCCGTCTGCCATCGCCTGTGACTTGCCAGGATCTGCCTGCGTCCCTGTGCCTCCCTGTCCTGAGTAGCCCAGGCCTTTGGTGAAGACGTCTTGTTCTCCCAGGGCCACTCACTGGCCTGTTCCTCACACTGTATTTTTCCTTTTACCACTGCCCAGCCCTCCCCTTCCCTTCTCATCCCACTGCCCTTTTGACCACCATTCCCATTTCAAAGTACTCAGTTCAGTGAACATATATTGTCTCATTTTACCTAATATTGATTAAACAAAAAATAATTAAGACAATCTTATATACAGAAAGGATGTGGCCTCCCTTTGTTTATACAAATGGTATGCAGTGAATATTTTTTGTATAATACATTGAAATTAAATGAGAGCTGGAGTATCTAATGGAAATGCAATCTCAATCATGTTAAATTTCTTTTCTATTTTTATTTTACTTTTTCTTTTCTTTTTTATTTTCTATTTTTTATTTCCTTCTGTATTAGGCTGGGTTCTCTAGAGAAGAAAATCAGTGGCGTACACATACAATTGGACATGGCGAGAAAAAGAAGAAGGATAAAGGGGAGGAAAAAGAGGGGAAGGGAGAAGGAGGGTGGGAGGGTGGTAGAGAAAGAGAGAGATGAAAGAGAGGAGAGAGAGAAGAGAGAGATGAGGGGAAGTGGGGGAAAGACAGATTTATATCAACAACAGTGGTTCACTTGTGAAGGCCAGCACAATTTCAAGCCTTTGGGTCAGTCATCAAGACAGTAAGTAGTCTTATCCTGTCTCTCAGATTTGCAAGGGCTGATGAACCTAAGATCAGCAAGATAGAGAGCATACTGCTAGCTTCAAATGGGAACACAAATCCCCAAACAGCTGGTAATGTGCAAGGCTACTGGTTGAAGCTCAAAGAACTGGAGGTAGGATGATGATCAGACAGATGTAGTATCCTGATGAAGCTAAAAGCAAGAAGGATTAGCCAGACTTGCATGTATATTTGATAAAGGCCTTGCCCTCAACAAACACCCTTCAATTGATTGGCTGCTCAGAGTAAGTTTCATCATCCAAGTGATCACATTACACCTGACCTCATCAAGGAAATTATTCCATCACATCAGATCTCATCAATATCTGCCGACGCAAAGACTCATGGGCCACTAAGCTGACACATAGCCTTCACCTTAACATCTTCCATTCTGTGTCAAGTTGAAAACAACTGTTACCTGCCAAAAAGTATTTTTACCTATGAAGACTGTTTCTATTATTCACAACTATAACCTGTACACGTTAGAGAACTACATGAAGTTTGAAAAAGATTTCTTCCTTCCCTCCCTCATTTTTTCTTTTGCAATAGTTCTCTCTCTCTCTCCACCCCCACACACTCACCCGTCGTTATTCATCATTTTATTTGTAAATGGTACAATCAATTTGTTTCTCATTGCTTTCCTTCCCTTATTTATGCATAGGTAAGTGTATGTTGCTGCTGGTGTTTCACGGTGAATTGCAGTTCACAGTGGTGCAGAGGATTTTAAGTGACTGGAAGCTTTTGTGAATAGAACACCAGATTTGTCTTCTGAGGGTCCTCTGGGTAAACCTAACTCACCAATCTTTTTTGTTAGTAGTTGAGCATTTAATTGTTTATGTAACCCAGGGATTCCATGTGTATATGTGTATCTGGGTAATTTCTAAGGGTGAGAAAGCAGATTATGGTCTGTATAGTTAGCAAGTAAGTGTGATTATGGCTTTTCCCTCTAATCCTAACAGAATAAGAAGTATTTTCTTTCCACTGTGGTGATGTTAAATTTGTCTGAGGTAGATTTTATTACTTAGGTCCACAGGGGAGTAATTGATATTTAAACTCAAGCCATGAGGCACTAGAGAAGCAGCTCCCCTCCTGACTTTAATCCCACTGGACTTGTAGCTTCCTAAAGTTATATTACACAGGTGTAGAGAATAAAAAATGAGAAAGACATGCCTTTCCTGTTTGGAAGTTTAAGAATACTATCCAACAGTGGAAAAAAAGAAAGAATTTGTGAAAAGCTGAATGAACCTAGTGGACTTTAGGCTGAGTGAAAATTCAGCATCAGTCATTGTTAAGGGGTTGGAATCAATCCATAGTTGACCCTCCAGCACGTTTTCAAAGTCAGTAAATTGCACAGGAGGAGATTGTCCATCTTTCTCCCACAGGGCAACTAGTGAAGACCTATGTCTAACCACCCTGATTGGTGGCACAACTCCTTACAACTAAGTCACTAGAGTTCCCATGAACATACTCTTTAAGCAAATTTATATCATTGAATTCACATGCAAGCAAGATTCTACTGCAGATTATTCAAAAACGACTGAAACAGTACATCAAAAGAGAACTGCCAGAAGTCCAGGCTGGGTTTAGAAGGGGTCGTGGTACTAGGGATATTGTAGCTGATGTTAGATGGATCTTAGCTGAAA